CTACACGGAGAGCCAAAGTATTTGCACGGAATAATAACTTTTTTTTAATAACGGGGATTACAAAAATGATCCCGAAATAAAAAAAAATGTTAAAATAATAATTTTTAAGAAAATTAAATAAAAAACCGGATGTAAATAGAATTGGAAATAAATCAATCCAAAAATTAAATAGATATAATTTTATAAAAAGAAATTTTAAATTTAAAAATAATAGAAAAGAAAGATACAAAATAAATGGTACTGTACTGAATGCAGGTGTAAATACCTGTATATATATTACAAATCACAAAGATACAGAGGTGGAATAGTATCGGCAGGTGTGACTTTTGTCGTTTCCATAGGGTCACAGGTTTTCATGAGATTCGCCAGAAAGGTTTGAAAATTAATTTCTTTCCCTCACTTTAAATTATTATTATTTTTTCTCCCCCATTCTTCTTCTGCATTTTTCGAGAACCCAATAATTTATTTTTGGTATAAGAGAATCCAATAATTACTCTCCTGCTCCTACCGAGAAAACACTGTAAATATATTATGGCATCATAGCTTTAGTGAAAGTCAAATCTTTTGACATAAATCTAGAAAAAGTTTATTATCAAATGTATTGATCATATAATAAAAAAAATAGTTTGATTGTTTTAGAAATATATATAATTAATTATATGTATATATTAATTTTAACATTAACATTAACATTATTAAGATATGTAAATCTATTAATCGAGATCCAACTGCAATGAGTGTATATAAATATATATGTGCATTATTTTTTTTTATAATTTGGAAGTTTTTTGACCCAACTACATCTTTTAGAGAGGATCGAAAAAATTCATGTGAATGTCTCTCCCCACGTTTGGGATTGAATATGTGTGCATATTTACATATGAATGTTTGGTTTAAAACCATATCACATTTATATAGATAAGATTCCATCCAAATAATCATTATGTATGAGGTTTAGGTTAGCTTCTACCAATAAAAAAAAACGATTGGAAAAAATATATTTAATAAAATCATGAAAATGTTTAATACTTTGGGCACATACACACTTTTGTGAAAATAAATATACACACACGTTACACGTAATGACTGAAAAATGCACTAAATTCTACTATTGGAATTATAAAAAAAATGCAAGCTAGTAGTCAAAAGGCCCCTTTCACCCTCTTTTTTAAGATACGGAAAGCCTCACAAAAACGATATATAGTGAATTAGGGTGAATATTTTTTCATTTGATTATATTCTTGTTGTGTTATTCCATTTTTATTTTATTTTATTAGTTCAATTTGAGTTCTACTTGAATCGGTTACAATTCTAAACATCTTTTTTATTTTTTTAGCTTTATATTTATTTTGAGATACTTTCGAATTTAATTTGAAATGTTTATACCCAATAATATTTTAAATTAGATTCAGTTCGAATAATGTATTTAAAAATAGATTATGACAGCTAAAGTAAACTGTTAAAGTTGTCTTTTATATTTTAGCATTGCTATCAGAAAAGACCCTTTCTTCGCTAAGTATTTATAGGAAGTGATTCCGTAAAACTTGCTTAAATTGACGGTCCATGCAAAAAAAAAAAAGGTTTTTTTCCTAAATTCGAAATATAAAATAAAAAATCATGTAAGTTATGTCATTCAATACAAAAACACGATTCAAAAGTCTCTATGGGATAATCCCATTTTCAACTCATTATTTATGTCTCATCATTTTTTCCACCGTTGGTTTCAACGCCTCCTTTGTCTTAGTTTTTTTGTGTCGCATATTTTTTTATATAAAAAAAGTAACACACAACAGACACACAAATATATTAATATAATTTTGCATATATAAAAGAAGAAATGATTGCTAAAATTATTGAAAGCTTTTCACCAAAAAAAAATATATATACGAAAGCCTAATTTTTCTACTATTTAAAGCGTAAATTATATGAAAGCCAGGAAAAATTTATAGGGTTGAGGACTTAAATGAACCAAGATAATTTAAAGCTTATACTTTTATATTTTGTTAAGTAGCACTCAATTTTCATGTTGATAATTGAAATTATTAAACCTACCTATCATTAAAAAAAATAGTTAGCCAAAATAAAAAAGCACCGTAATTGTCAAACCCAACAAATTAAAACCCTAAAATTTCCACTATTTCTTTACACTTTCCCGGAGTCCACATTAAAAATCCGTTCTTTCCCCTCTTTCCCTCCTCCCTCTCTCTCTCTCCCTCTCCCCGCGAGATCAGAGAGAGACACCTGAGATCTCGCCGGAAAATGGGCAGGTACACGAAGAAGCCAAAGATCGCCGGCGAAATCTCGGTCGTGGATGTCTCTCAGACGACAACCACTCTCGGTTTCCGTACAAGAGCCGCCAAAAACCTCGCCTTGCAGCGCCTCCGCTCTCTCTACCCTTCTCCGGCGACATCGGTGGAAGCAGATTCCTTCCGTTACCTCCAGCTTCGGAGCCGCCGTCTCGAGAAGCATTCGTCACTAACGGAAACGAGGAAACAACCGCAACATCAGCAGCTGAGACAGCGTGTCTGTAACAGGGAAACGAGAAACCCTAGGGCTAAACCCACTTCGGTGAAATCCGCGTCTGGAACGGTGGCTCCGGCGCCGGAAAATAAAGGGCACTTCGGTAATAACGAGGGGATTGGTGGGTCTGATAGTAATTTTGATGAAGCTTTGTCTGGAGAGAACAGTTTCGACATCGAACCGAGAGCCAGGTATATACACTTCTGTTATTCTGTTGTAGTTCTGTTGCCTCTGCTTTCATGTTTCGAATCTCTAAACGTGTAAAGACAAACAGTCTCGAATTCTGAGCTTCATCATCTTTCTCTCATGGCGGATATTTAGTTCCAGCGTGTCTTTGTTGCGCAGGAGTACGAGGGAAAGCACGCCATGTAACTTGGTTTCAGACACAGAAACTGTCCGAACCCCTGGTTCAACCTCGAGACGGAGAAGCCCCGTTAGAACCCATGACAGAGCTCGGGATGGTTTGCTTGGGATTGTTCCTTCATCCCGTGAAATAGAAGAGTTCTTTGAATGTGCAGAGCGGCAAGAACAGCGATTCTTTAGACAGAAGTAAACTTCAAACTCTTCATGTTAAGGGTTCTGTTCTTGAACCACGTTTTAGTTCCAGGAAACTGTTCTGATTGCAGAGTTTGCGGTATGTGCAGGTACAACTTCGATATCTTGAATGAAGTTCCGCTTCCCGGGCGTTTCGAATGGGTTAAAATGGCGCCGTGAATGGTGCTGAAGGATGCAGCTTGATGGTACATTATGTTTCCAGTGTAAAAAAAGTGTGTAATTTAGGGAGATCTGTATAACTTTAACAGAGCCAATAAATTACACAGACTAACAACTTGTCAAGAAACTCAGAAATAAAGGAGATGATGAACTGAGGAGGAGGGTTTAATTGGAGGATTAGGGTTTAGGGTTTAGAAACTTGTAGTCTTGGAACAAAATTCACATGTATTACAGCTAACATGTTAGTTGAGGCGTTGTAATGTGAATCTCTCTTGTTTTACCATAAAATAAGTTCCTTGAATGATTTTCCAAAGTAGAATATCCTTACTATGTGATTTCTCTTCCTTGTACATGTGATGTTTCGGCCTGTTCTTGTTCTTGCCCACAGGCAACGTTGCAAGAATCCCATCCATCCATTTGTTATATCAGTCTCTTGGTTTGATCTTTGGCTGCTTCAATGGATTCGGTTTCCAAGCCTAAACAGCGAGTCCCCTAACCTTTGGTCTGAGGTAGCGGATTCGGTTGCCAACAACCTAAACCACCTACCAAAATCCTAAACCAGATACAAGTTTTGGCCTTTCTTAAAAAAAACCAGGTTCTGAAAGATTATATCTGCAAAAAAAGGGAAAACTGGGTTGCGTGAAAAAGCAGGGTCTGTTTTGAATTGAATTTAAGACCTTCTCGTCTTAGTGAAAGTGGCACATGTGGTTCATTGTACGGCCCTCTGAACAACTTCTGTCACAGGTTGCGAATTACTTACGGTCTTAGACTTCATCATGTCTCCTCTCTCTCTCTCCCTCCATTATTACAGCTTCTTTTTCTGGTTTAGATTTCCTGGCTTCAGAGTTTTGGATCTCGCCCTTTTAGATAATCCCAATATTAGATTCATGTCAGTCCCTGTATACAACGGTTAAGACCCCCTTGTTCAGTGTTTAACTATCCTTGAACTCTGAAATTTACAGATCAGTCTTTTAAACTAGACCCGGGCAGAAAACGCCCGTTCTTCAGAAGTTCGATAACCGGGTCATCTTCAAAACCAGAAAGGAGATCTTTTTTGTTGGTCAAGTTCCATGCAATGCATCATATGATCTATGAGATGGAAACCTTTTCAAAATGCATCAGCAAGCATCTGGCTTTAACCTTGCCCAGAATTCAATTCAGTGGTTGAAGCTATCTCCAGACAAATTCAATGTATTGGCTTATACTGCAATACTTTAAAGATCCCCGAAGATAGCGTTAGGAACTCAGAAAAGAAGCAATCGAAAGCCAAACCTCATGGGTGAATCTGTAGAGAAGTAAGTCACAAGGAGATTTTATACATACATCAGATTTTGTCATGTACCTGTTGTGATGTTTTCTCTCTAAGTCTTTTGGCTCTTGATGTAACATAACAAATTCAAAGCTTTCATGGAGTTTGGGGTCTGGAACTCGTCCCGCCTTGCTTCGTTTCTGCCATTTCGACTTCGTGTACACAGTTGTTTTTTGGAGCTTCTTCATCTTCCATAGCCATCCTCCTGATTTTAGCCCATTGTATCGCTTGCAGCTCGTATCTGCAAACCAATAGCCAAAAAACCCGAATATTCATCTGAAATGCTTTGCATAGATGCCATTGCCAGATAACTTTACTTAACCGTCTGTTCCTTACTACAAATCACTGCCGCTAAACTCCATGTGGGTGTGAAGTAATATGGAAATGAGATGATAACTGATAAGGTATATGTAAGTATCTAAAAGGAGAGCTAAATCACCGTTGTTAAACAATTAAGTCAAGAGATACAATGCACCAGTCCATAAAAACACAAAACATGAAACCATCTTTAGATTAATAAACTCACGCAGAAAAAGCTTACCCTGCAACTAGATTCCTCACGAGCTTGAAATATATCCTCCAAAACTGCCGTTCCTTTAAGAGACGCGGACACAACTTGAATCTTAGCTGTGAGAGTTCCTGTAAGCAGAAAGAATCTTCAACCCGGAAACTAGAATCGTATCGTCATTTCAGTAACATTATTAACAAGAGCTCATTGGCAATAACAAGCAGAGTCCCATGTTGAAAGATGAACAGAGCAGCCTTGACAGTGATCTATTACATAGACACAGAAAAGCTCAAGCAAAAAATAAAACATGAACTGAAGAAGAATTTTGTCTTAAAACTCCAAGATTTCATCAACCATTCATGTACAGATTGGCTTCTCTGATAGGAAAACGAATTTAAAGCTATTCCTATGCACAGGACGAATTGAAATTTCAACTCCACCAAATTCATCTACTTTGACAAGGAAAAAGATCACAAAATGTCAAAATCAAATGAGAACCTTGGATTTCGATAGCACGAGAACCGCATGCCTCTCCTGCCAATCAGACAAATCCTTTCTCATATTGTCTGAAGAGTTCGTTCCATGACTTCCATCTTCATCAGGATTCACGGATGCTTCTTCCTCTGCATCAGAATCTCAGCCCCAACACGACGACGAAAGTTAATACCTTGTTTGGTCGCCGAGAAAAAAGTCAGAGCAAAAAGAAAAACCCAGAAAAAGAAGGTAACCATTTTGGAATTTACCTTCAAGAGGGAAGTTCTTGAAGGTGTCGATGGCGAAGGTTCTGACGTGATCGAGTAATTCATCTGTTACACCGAGCAATCCATTATCGTCGTCTTCTTTTCTGCTCGATCGCTGAGGCTTATATTCATTTCTAGGGCTTGTGTTATTCTGGGTTTTTCGGCTGTCTCTCAGAAAACTGCGTCGAATCCTCGAAGCTAAATCCATGGCGGTTCAACTGAGAATTCCAAATCCTTCAAGCTTTCATCCTGAACCTGAAGGAACACACCACACTTTTTCTGTTTCTCCTTTGGGCGGAGTTTCATGCGGTGAAAAGGTCACATTTCTTAATGGGCTGAAATGGGTCTCTCAGGCCCATAAACAAATGCCTTTTTTGTGGATGCTCATAAATAATAATTTGTGTTAGATATAATTTTTTATAATTAAATTTATTGAATTTAAATTGAGTATAAAATTTAAAATTAAATGGAATGATTGTTTAAATAAACATTTTTTTTAATGGATTGAATCCAAATCGAAAGAAAAAGATAGGAGAATCGATAAATGGGGATATAATTTTTATAAAATCAAAGGAAATGAAATTAAAAAAAAATAACTAAAAAAGAGAGTATAAACCTGAACCCACAACATTCATCCGTTAATCGTAGAACCCTTGAAATCAAAGAGTTTATACAGAACCACCTATATATATACATATATTATATACGCATGCGACGATACATGCATCTAACATAAATGATAGTAATTTCATCAAAAAAAAAAAAACATAAATGATAGTATCTATCCATATATACATGAAGATCATTGTAACATAATTTTACTATATGCGATGAGACCTATATATATATATATATATATATATATATATATATATATCTATAGGGATTGATAGTAAAACAGCGTTTGATGAAAAAATATCATTGGAGGAAGAAGTAGGTAACCCCAAAAGTTTTATCACAAAGTGAGAAAACACATGCCTCTTCAAAGAAGTAAATTAAGAAAAACATACATGGCAGAGACAGAAAAAACCCTTAATACAAGATAAGGTATATTTGATAATATAATATATATATATATAATCCAATACTATATATAGCTCAAGCAGAGGAGGAAGGTTTGTTGGTGAAGAGGCGAATGGCAAAGGCGAGAGCCAAGATGAGGACGGGGACAAGGAACTGGAGGAGTTTGAAGACGAAGTCGGAGGTCTTGTCCTGATTGTAGTGAGGCTGGTCCGGAGGAGTGTACTTCCTCTTCGTCGGGATGGTCGAGGTGTCGATATCCCCCACGTAGAACTCCTCCATCATCGCCTTCGCCGTCGAGCTGTGCCCTATGTCCTCGAAATCGTCCGTTGCATCCTTCGCTGCACGAGGAAGAACATATATGGTGTGGGGAGAGAGTGTGTGTGTATGTGTATATATATATATATATATGTAATGAAAAGGACCTGTGGAAGAGAGTAAGACTTCATCTCCGCCGGGATGATCCTCCAAGAACCTTGTCACATCGTACACCTGCGCGCATTCATATTAACACCACGTATGGAATCTTCGAGTACACGGTTTACTATATACGCCATTGAATCGAAACATATATACGATTTAAGTACACGGTTATATACATAGTTTTATGATAAAAATGGTTGATATATATGGGTAGGGGGGCGATACACCATAACCCGCAAATTTCAAGTATCCGCTTCCTCCATGAGCCGAAGTTTCTGTTATTCGTCCGTGGACGGATTTGGGTTTCAGGCGGTGAGTACTCGATCGCGCCATGTGGATTGGATCTCCGTATATAGCCAAGGACGAGAGTGAAATGAGGGACAAGATGGGGCCCGCAAGGGAACGAGAGAGTCGAGAGGGTCGAGGGCGAGGAAGACATTGGTCTAGGACCAGATATTCCACGATATCTAAGTCCGCTACCAAAAAAAGTCTACGACGGAATTTCCTGTCACAACAATAAACGAAATCCGTCGCAAATCGAACATAAATTCCGTCACTAAGGCCCTGCCGCAAACACAGTAGGATCTCACAAATATTTACAAAATAATTCTGTCGTTTAGGGTCGTATAACAACGATCGGAAACTAAATTTTGGTGATTTAGTGGTAGGAAAACATGCAAAACATGATCTTATATTGGGTTCGAACCTAAGGGTGGGAGGGGTATTCGTCTGGAATTTTCCGATCCTATGAATTGGATGTAGTTAGACTAAAGATATGGTGAACTTCCGGATTATAAAAAAAAAACGATTGGGAAATCCGTCAGTGAATTGCGACGGAACCAGTTTTGTTGTAACTTGAAAGGGAGTGCGACGGAACGGGACACTTCAAGTGGTCGGTAACGGCGGCGGATTTTTCCGTTGCGAGATTTTGCGACATGGTTCTAAACGCTAATCTCCTCACACCAAATATTAGACCCGTTGAGAACGTCTCCTATCTCGTATAATTTAGGCATTGTCCAATATCGTGTTATATAAGGGAAAAAAAAGGGAAGATTTTTTTTTTTCATGAATAAAAGATGGATGGTTCGTTTCGTTGGTTAAAAAAAAACCCCAGGTATGAAATTACGAGGATGACTTTACCTTGCCATGGATGACAATCCAACAATCTTTGCGATCCTTGTGTTCTGAAACTTCTGCCAAAGTGAAGACCTTGCCCTCTCCCCCCATCTCTCTCTCTCTCTCTCTCTCTCTCTCCCTCTCTCTCTCCTAAATGAATATGGAGATTCCTCCTTTTGAAGCCCACTCCTAAACCCAACCAATATGACCCTTCACAAACCTTGAGAACTCAGTCAGCACAGATGGAGAGTTGAGGTCGGGAGTTGGTGGAGAGTTTTCTTTTTTTTTAAAAAAAAAATAAATAAATATTATTATCGTTTTATTTATTTATTTATTCCATCAGTCTTTTAAAGAAAAAAAAAAGCCGAAGGGGTTTGTTTGTTTCATAATGGCAACAACACACCTCTTTCCACTTCACCCACCAACCATTCCAATCCCACGGTGAAGACTGATTATGCTTAATGCCTTCGTCCTTCGCTTCCTTCACCTCACCTACCACCAACGCAAGCAAGCAAAACCATGTCTCCCCCGCCCCTTGGTTTTGCTATATTACATTTTTACATATACATAATATATATATGATTAGGACCATGAAATGGGTCAATTTTAATCTCTATGATTTTATTATAGGTGTATTTGGAAAATAGAAATCTTCAATGACATGTCGAGATGGTAAGGTAAGATTAGGATAACATTATATCTATATATACACATATACATATTTCCTATTTCAGACTTTTTATATTCAACAAATTAAAGCATTTGGTAGTGCAGACATAAAATTGGGTAGTTGAAAAATGCCTTTCACCTACTCTTTCTTAAGTCTGCATGTGTCCCAAATTTCTAAACCTTTTCTGATTTTTTTTTCTTCCAAAAACAGATTATATGATTCCATCTGTTTGGAATGTGTTGAAGATGGAAATATTTAAGGCCCATTAACTTATTAAAATAGGCCCAATCCAAATTATATGGGCCTTTGGAATTCTTAAAGCCTTAATTTTGGAGCCCATCTACAAAGCCACCTCAAAATCCCTAGCGACTGCCATCACTTCATATGCATATCCGCCATTGAAGGCTCTTCGCGACCTTCGAAACCGCTCGCCAGAATCACATGATAACAATGGTGTCAGGGATCGGGAATATGCGCGAAGCGCGTGGTCGCCAAGGAGCTGCTCAATGGGTAGAATGTGGTGGTTGTCCGATGCGAGGAGATTTGTCTGTCGGGAGGTTTGGTCAGACAGAAGATGAAGTACATGAGGTTCCTTAGGAAACGCATGAACACGAAGCCGTCGCATGGTCCGATTCACTTCCGCGCTCCGTCTAAAGTCTTCTGGCGAACCGTTCGCGGGTTCGTACCCTACTTCCATTGTCCACGTCCCGTTTCTTCCTTGTCCAATGGTGAGGTCGGGACATAGAGATTCTTCGTCGAATCATAGTTCATCATTTCCTTTGTGAAATGTAAATTCGTAGAATCATAGCTTGTACTTGTTGAAGGAGATAACGTGGGATAAATGCAGGTCTAGATCCGTAACAACTGACATTCTCTGCAAGTTCTGTTCTATGTAATCATGTCTTCAGCTAATTGTGTTATGTCTATCTAATTGATGAGTGATTAAAGGGTGAAAGGAACCTAATTGTGCAAATGTAGTGCAAATGTGCTGTAGATAATCAATGTTAATTTTCATATGTATGGATTTTGGAGAGGTTAATCTCATTTTCCATTTTCGGGTTTAGCTTAGATAGCTGAATCATATAGTTCTTATGGTTGGAAGAAATTGTTCATTGTTGATTGTTTTAGGTAACCTTGTTGTTCGTTGTTTGTACTTCAAATCATACAATGGGATTAGAACCTGTAATTTTTAGTTTCAAAATTTCATCCGATGATAAGTTGTAACCTCTTTCTTTAGGATGATCCCGCACAAGACTAAGCGTGGTGCTGCTGCTCTTGCCCGTTTGAAGGCGTTCGAAGTTGTCCCACAGCCTTTCGACAAAGTTAAGAGGATGGTCATCCCTGATGCTCTCAAGTAAGATATGATTCTTGACCTTTGCTGTTGTGTTTACTGATTTCTTTTAATTAGTGGCTTTTAAGTGTTTTAGTATCAATTGAATTGTTGGGGGTTTTTGAATTAGGGTTTTGAGACTTCAGAAAGGGCACAAGTACTGCTTGTTGGGTCGGCTATCTTCGGAAAGTTGGATGGAACCATTATGATACCATCATGGTAAGTTCCTCTTTTGAAGTCTTCCTCATGATCATCATCTTACCTCATCAGCATAATCTTGTACATGTTTCACATTTCGCATGCTTGTGTATCACAAATGCTATTCAGAGGTGTCAAGTCTGTTCTTATTTGTAACTCATCACTCAGAAACCAGTTTCAACAAAGTCTGCCCTAAAGATTAAGACGTATGTTTCAACACATCATCATTGCAAAATCTTAGTCGGGTTCGCTGTTTTGATTTTGCAGGAACTCGAGAAGAAGAGAAAGGAGAGGTCTCAAGCTGTGTATGAGCGCAAGAAACAGCTCAACAAGCTCAGGGCCAAGGCTGAGAAGGTTGCCGAGGGGAAACTTGGTTCGCAGCTCGATGCTCTTGCCCCGGTTAAGTACTGAGAAAAACCGATAACCGATCTCTCTCTCTCTGGTTAGCGATTCTCTGTGAAGGTCTTTCTGATTGTGCCGGTAGAGAATTTGTTAGGGTTTTTCTTGCAGGCATAAAGAAGAAGACTTGTCAAATCTTAATGTTTCACCATCCTCGTGCTCTATATCACGGCCATTCTCATGGAATCTACATTGGCGGTTGTTTATGTAAAACGATTTATAATTATAAAACATGTTTACGGTTTAGAAGCTGGCCAATCCCAAAACCAGAAAATCAAAGAGACGATGATGTAATTCAGTAACTGCTTCAGACAAACAAGTGATAAAAGATTCAGAACAGAACACACTTCATCTTGTCTCTTCTTCAATGAACACATAGCAAACGGGATTCTTTGTTTCCAAGTTCAAATCTCACAAGTCCTTTAGACATTTAGATTAGTTATGGATATGTAAAAAAAAAACATCTATAACAAAAAATACATAATGCAAGCTATATAGATCGGGTACCCGAAGACAATAGGGTCAAGAAGTTTATATGTCCTCAACAACATGAACATCGTATACGTTCGGTTCTTCGGGTAATCTTCCGTCGGAATGCTTATAACCCTCGAGTTCCTTCTCGAGATAATGATTCTCCTTCTCCCTTCTAACGAGGATTTCCTTCAGAACGGTCATCTCTTCTTCGTCATACGCGAATTTCTCCTCCATCATTCTCTCGTATTGTTTAGCCTCCAGTTCGAGATAGGCTTTGTCGGCTTGGAGCCTCAAAATCATGGCCATGGCTTCATCTGCAGCTGTTGCAGAGGCAGCCCTCTCTTCCTCCAGCTCCACAACCAGAGCTGCCCGAGCAGTTCTTTCCTCGCGGAGAGCTCGTTCCAGCTTTTTTGCGGTGTCCATATCGTTATTCGTTACAGCCTTGACGGATGAAGATTCTTCCCTTGTTTCATCGGTTTCTCCATCTGTAATTGGACCTTCGAGATTGAACTCGTCTTGGGTAATAACCTTGTCTCGGTCATCCGCCTGAGAATTATCGGCAGAACCCGAAGCATCGTCAAGAGACAAATGGGCATTACCTCTCGAGAATATCGATGATGATTTTCCTCTACGACGCCTACCAGAAGCCTTCTGCTTCTGATTCATAGCCTGTCTTGTCCTAACATCAGAATCACTTTCTCTACCGCACAAATTATTGATTCTGAAACCCGAATCTGAGCTCGACTCTTTTCGGAATCCCGTTTTGAGAACGTTATTTTCTTCCTTTCCATCGGAAATAACCACCGTGGAGCTCGGGATCTCCTCTTTCTCTCGATGCCAACCGATTTCACAAGGTAACCTATACACAGAGAGATTCTGGATAGTATGTATTTTCGTTAGAGGCCACCCGAAGAGAAGCTTGTGCAGGCATAAGTCTTTGTTCTTGTACCCGAGAATCCCGGAACAGGGACAAGGCATGTCCAGACCAAACACGAGCAAGAACTTGGATGCAACGAACACGAAAGCCGATCCACATAGAAGGTAGTAAGCAAGAGCCAGTTCCAGGAAAGCAATCACAACCCCACAAAACGTCCATCTACAGCATTCCCTCGAATCCATTTTCTTTTCGATTCGAGTTTCATGGGATTCTTCGATCAGAAGTTAACCAAGAACACATCCAAATCTTTGATGCATCTTTACAGAGAAACCTAAATCAGAAAAGAGGGCATTAACATGATCTTCCAGAAATTAAAGAACTTTCTCCAGAAGAGAAGTGAGGATTCAATCAGTAAAGATTGAATCTGAACATGAAATCTTCCCAAGAGAAAGAAATGTTCTGTAGTCATTAGCAAACAGTTGAAACCTCAAATCAAATGACTGTTCCTCAGAGAAACTGTGATTTCCTACTGATAAATAAAAAGGAAAAAGATTTTCGCCAGAAAGACAACAATATAAGTAAAGAACTGTCTGAAACTAGAACTCAGAAAAAAAAATCACACAAAAAAAAACTGAAGAAACGAAGATTCAGAACGGTCAGAAACAAGAACACAGAACAAAAAACAAAGGAAACCCCCTCACGAAATCTCCGAATCCCCACGAAATTTCCCGGTCAAGAACAGATTCGCCGACATAAACTTTTAGTATACACGAAACTGTAGCAAATCAAGGAGCTTTCAGCGAGAAGAAAGGGATAAAAATAGAACAAGAACCTGAGATCAGGTGTTGGAACTGAAAGTGGAAGAAGAACTGGATTTCCACGGGAGCTTTCAGACAGAGAATCTTCGTTGTCTTTTTTTTTTTCCCTTTGAGTTAATTTAGTGACAAGTTCTTTTATTTATTTTTACTTTGTTTTGTTTGATTTAATTTAATTTAATTTAATGGCTTCTTATGTGTTCACTTTCCTTCCAAGTTTTATACAGAGAATCAAAAGCATCCTCCACGTGGATTCTTCTGATATACATCTCTAGATTTACATATATTAAAAATTGTATAATATTTGATTATAAAATTATATTACTCACCCGCGAAAAAGGTTGCAACGACAAGCCGTCAAATTTGACGGCGTCCGTGGCCTGGATCCATATGGTAATTCGGGTCGACCCGCATCTCATCATTCTCTGTTTCTTTAAAAATGTATATACGTAAATACATATTGGAACCTAAAACATTGTCAAACGTCGAAAATGAGTCACGAACTTCCGGTGTTTGGACAGAGGACCATATCAGTGGATATCAAAACAGCATTCGAATCCGTACATTTTGGATATATTAAATAATATTCCGTATCCGAATATCATAAAAAAAATTTAATTTTATAATTAAAAATAAGTATCAAACATCTTATTTTAATTTTAATAATATCAAAGTAATTTTATAATTAAAAATAAAAATAATTTCTGATTTTATTTTTTTATAATTAAACCGTGTGTATATATGGGTATATAAATATGATTATAAAATTATGAAAACTAAATGCGCCGAACTAGATATAACTTCGATTTGCAAATCCGAATTTGATTATTTGAACAACATTTAGTGGAAATCATCTTTTTTTTTTTGTTTCATTTGCATAACAAACAGATTTTTTTTTTGGGGTTGATTCCATTAAAGAAAAGGGTGAGAGAGAGAATAATAAAATACATCAAAACCCTAACCAAGACCTGAGGAGATATTTTCTATTTCTATATACACAAACATACGCCTCTACATAACTGGGTTTTCCCCCCTACTCTCCCAACCCAAAAGAGGGAAGACATAGAAAGAGCTATGATGCCAAAGTGGTAAATTTACATTGATTGATTTTCCAAAATGGACCTTTTTTTTTGTTGGGGAAAAAATATAAATGAAGTTGCGCCCATCTCCTTACCTTCACCTCTCTCCCTCTCTCCTCTATGTTACAAAGAAAGGCTAAAAAGACCAGTAAGAATCATCACATTCTCCCATCATCCACTTCAAGTTAGCATTCTCCATCTGCAAGGGCTTCAGCATTTGCTTATCCCGTGTTAGTCGTTATTCTTATCCGTTCATAGGTTGTGTTCGGGAAAGAGATTTGGTGGAAGAGAATTACTGTTGGTACCTGTACAATGTCCATATACCTCGGAGGACTTCATCCGCATCGCTCTCTCGTTCCACCTTTGTGTCAGGAGGGGCATGGACCATAACATTTTCTGTGCTCTGCTTGTGATGGCAGTTCCTTCTGTGGCTGCAGCTATGGCCGCTCAACAACAGAGAGATGTTTCTGATTTTCTACTGGCTGTTGCTGCTGCTATTGCTTCTCCTGCTCAGACAACTGGCTTCGCTTTTGTATTGATGGCCCAGATTGTTGTGGTCTTTGAGTGCCGGCCTTAAGGTCATGACTAGGAAAACCACCAGGTAAGTGTTCCTGACCTATTTCTTGACCCGACTTTGGTACTGGTTCACTCCCAGCTGAATCCGAATGAGAGCCAGTAACTACTTTAGATGCTGCAGTGTTTTGCACAGAGGAATCGGACAAAGGTGTTTCTGATGCCTTCGGGGGAGAATTGGTAGCTGGGGAAGCAGCTGCTCTCATGTTAGGGTTTTCGATACTAGGCTGAGGCGGCGGACCATCCTTTGTATTCGCCATCTGCGTGGCATTGTTCACACATTGCGGATCACGTGGAGTAACTTCAGTTTGTGATTTCCTCGATAAATCAGAGTTCCCCAGATGATTATGTTGAAGGATTCTCTGAGCAGCAGTCATTTGCACTTGATTTCCCTGCTTCTGGGTAACTGAGGGAGTAGACATCATGGATAAGGTCTTACCTGGGGTCATTGGCGAAACCTGCCCTTGGATGCTATTATCCGCATTCTTACGCATCGGCTGAAGTTGCTGGGACAAAGGAGATGGAGCACCGGGAAATGCTTTTGGCTGTTGATGAGAAAGATTTGACGCTTGCGAAGGAACCAGCGGTTTAGACTGCTGATGTGTGCTCATGCTGGGCCCGTTCGATGGCTGAGCAGGAATAGATGGAGCCATGGTGGGTTCCCCCTTTTCGGTAGCCTGTATTGCAGTTGCAGGGCCCATAGAAAGACCATTTGGGTTTGACGAGTCAACAGAGATATTCTGTTGCATCAGGTTTCCTCTTCCCATTCCCTTCAAGAGCTTATTCTGCTGTTGCCGCTGGTGCAGGTGCTGTCTCCCAGACTGCTGAAACTGTTGCTGGAGTTGCCGCTGCCGTTGTTTTCCAGCCTGACTGTTCACCCCGGAAGGACCAGACTGAGTATTCCCACCGAGAGTATGAGGTGGCAACTGAGGTTTCTGTGGGGTCTGTTGTGCCGTGGCTGGAGGCATTGATGGTGAGACAAGTGGTTGCATTTGAGGACTGTTTTGAGGGGAGGAAGAGATTGGAAGAACTTGAGGTTGAGGTGATAGATGCGGCATTGTAGCACCAGAAGCTGGAAACTGCTGCTGCTGCTGCTGCTGCATATACCGCTGATGCAAATGCCTTTGACGAATTGCATATGCTTGCTGCTGCGCTCCAGTTGCATGTCCGGGGCTCTGGGTATGAGGATGATGAGTGTTTCCAAGCACGTGTGTCTGCTGTGAGGACATTTGATGCGGCTGAGAAAGATGGCCTGGATAGGTCTGGAAAGGGGGAGTTGTCTGGCTCGTGAAACCAGAGCTCAAACCACCGAAAGCCGGAATCCCCTGACCATTCCCTTGCGTAGCCTGCATCTGAAACTCACACAGATCAGTTTTTGTTTTTTTTCTTCAGTTGTTTATTAGCTTATTAAGGAGACAGGTCTGAGATATCGTAACAGTACTGAGCAAAAATTGGAAGACTTGAAAATCTACAAAGGAAACCGGACTGGTGGTCCTATTCGCTCCACTCGAGCCCATGGTTATTACCACCAGGTACCAAGTAATACCATCATATGTAGCAGCTGAAGACAGAAACCGAAGAGCTCACCCGCATCATATGCTGCATAGCTTCACGAGGCCTCAACATAGTGTTTCCTTGAGAAGAGCCCACTCCAGAGTGAGTATTTCCAGTGTTTGGCATTCCCACCGTACCAGAGGAAAGCATGCTGCCAGAGTTTGGTATGGTTGATGAGCCCATTCCTTGAAGACCAGGCCTTGACAAAGGTGTCGTCCTATTCGGTCCACTCGGGCTCATGGCATTACCACCAGGTACCATACGGTGTCCATGAACAGCCCCCCCAGCTGTCGGCTGCTGGTTTCTTCCAGACAACATCTGATTATATTGGAGACGGTGTTGCTCGTCAACTGCCAAAGATACTCTAGGTACATTGAATCTACCATCCCTGAAACATTAAGATATCATCCACCGAAGGAAGGAATGCAAAGCAAAACTTGAGGGAAGACGCACAAATGCAAGCACCTGACAGAAGCACTGGCTGGACCAGAAGTCGTTGACAAGTTATTACCGAGAACAGCTCCAGATCCAGATGTTGACGGGTTTGCTCCAGAAGAAGGAAGCCCTGATGTTCCCGGATTCAACATTGGCAAACCTGGATTTTCAAGGGGAAATACATCTTGACCTGAAGTCGTCGCATCACATAGATCGAGGGGCCTTTATCCAGAGAGCACCAAAAGGTTAGAATTGCAGCAAGCAAATAGGTGATAGATGAAGTTAAAGAAACATAACTTACGTGAGGATACTTCCATTCAGGTTATTTGGGAATACTTGAGAAAGAGCCATAACTTGAGAATTGTGGACTGGTACTATCTGCTTGGGATCCCGGGCATCGTTCTTGATGACAGATGAAACATAGTACCGCACATACAGAGGCAGAAACGAGAAAATAGGATCAGGGAATTACAAGTTTCGAGCTATAATACATACATCCTTCATATCCTAGTTAATGTAAGTAAAGATTGCAGTGAACAGCTTAGGCGCGCAACCTAATTATTACAGATAAAAATGGTGGAACAATTTGCCTTTCTCAGTAGAAGTTTCTTAACTCCTCATATTCCAAGTCCCGTGATACACATGCAAAGAATCAACTAGCTCAAGCCCAAAGCACTCATAAATCGAATTCCGTGTATCAGAAACCACAAAAGCACACAGATTCCTCTTAAAATGTACAATTTGAACTACATCACCCACCATCAGCTGCTGTATTTTACATGACATGCATACAGATGGTGGTTATGACTGTTGCCAAGCAAGAACTGATCGATTAATGCAGGAAAATGACAAAAAAAAGGGCATACGACAGATACAGCGCAATAGGTCGACCAACCTGAGTTCTTCTATAGTGCAATTTCTTCCCAATCAAGCAAATCTTCTCAAAATGGGACTTGAGGGTATCCTCCTCCATTGGCCCTTGCAAACGTTGGAACAACTGCCTAGCACTTCCCTGAATTATAGTGCAAATGTCCAGGCAACTAAAGTTTAACTAAACATAGACAAAGCTTTACCCAAATACATTTTATTCACTGTCTCAAAGTTGAGGAAACCTTCGGGATGCCTGGCAGTGTAGACGGATAGGACTGAGAAGTTCCCGAGTCTTCAGCACTATCAGCACCATCACCAGCACTCCTATCCATTAGAATCTTATGTCGTTCCTTGCATTCACTTGGATTGCGATATATACACTGAACAGTTGAAAATGAAGAGAACAAAGAACAAACATATCAATCAATCAGGCAACAAATCCCAGCATGGTTTATGTCTAGAATAGTGACAGCCTGAACTTAAGTGACATTGATGCAGTAAACCATAACCCTTGCTAGCATAGTCCAGAAAATGGACTCCCAGAGAGGAATTGAGAAAACAGGGTTCTGAGGCCATGCTCTACTTCATACTTGTAATACTGAAGTGGAATAATTTTTATAGCTTAATCGAGGATATTAAGCTCTACACAAGTAAGTAATAAAAACAAACAGAAACAACAAAAATCAAACCAAACCAACAATCTATTCATTTATAGATCTTCTACCGTGTCAGACTTGTTCAGGAGTAATCCAAAAAACAGAGCCTTACCTTAATTTTGAGAGCGCTGTTCATTGCATCACTTATGAGCTCCCAATTAGGGCCCATATCATGCACCAGAACAACAAGCGCCTAGAAGGTGAATAAAAAGAAATCAGCCATCCTCGAAGCAACTAACAGAACAAATGGAAAAGACATGTAACAAATTAAAACCTGATCCTCAAATAGTGACCATGGATTTCCAGAAGAACCTTGTTGACCAGAAAAAATCTGCATATATTAAATTTCAATTTTCAAGAGAGATATCCTATAGCAAGCCACATGACAAACGAGCTCGCAAATCCCAACATAATAACAATAATAATGATAACAATAATAATACCTTCAGGCCTTTTATTTTTTTGCCCCTATCACGACCTCCAATCAATTTAATAAATTTGTTAGAGTTGGACATATTGCTCATCTGAGATACTGCAGGAGAGGGTATCGATCCTGTGACAGGAATAGAACTGTCAAAATTATTCTCTGCCAATTGCTTAGCTATCTTCTGTTTCTTCGCACTATGTGGCCCATACAGACCTTATACAATCAATTTAAAAATGTTACGGGATTTATAGACGACATGCATATACATAATCATAGAAAGCAGCATCACGAGGACTCTGACAGACCATCAGTACCATGTAGTTTCCAGTAATAGTTACATTAAAATCTAACCAAAAATTACTCAAGCATTTACTTTAATAATTACTTAATAGTCATCATTTCATTTGTTAATAGTCAGTGAAAATGAAAGATCCACAAATATTGCTCTCGCCAGTTTCACACTTTCTCCAGAAGTGGTTTCTAGAGCAGTGATAATCTTAATTAAAATTATAAGGGAGAGTGAAGCTTCCGATTTCCCCCTTCATCCAGGCTACTAGAAAACTGCTTTAAGCAATCATGCATCAGAAGCACAAAGGGGCAATCAGAAAAGTACCATTCGTATCAAAATGATTAGCCTCTGGTCGCTTCTTCCAATGATCCTTCTGCCAAAACAAGGGAGGAAGAATTAGGTTCCTCTCCAGAAGGTCGGTCACCCCTTCTGGAGTACACATATCCAACTGTAATAAACTAAAAAATTGCATAAAACATCTTATGGCCAGAAATATTAAGCAGTCAAAACCCATCACACTCCTCAATGAATCGATGATAAAAAGAAACAGAAGAGAGGAACTTCAGGTATTTCCATTCCAACTGCAGCATAATCTCACAAGTCACGACTCCAAGCAGCGGGCAAAACTTAAATATCAAATGGTACTAGAATGTAGCACGACTGTCACTTAAACAAGCTTTCGTCAACATTAACTATCAACACCATATATGAGCAACACACCAACACAAGGAACTTCAGGCATTCTTCCAATAAATACTTAATCTCAAGAATTGTGAGCATATTACCTGTTCACCATGGACTGTTGAATCACGATGCCAAGTCTGATCATATCCAGAACCCTGCAACCAAAGGGAAGTGGAGATCATAAAATGACTCCGGGACTGATGATGAACGATTTCCAGGAAAAGTTAGTCAGATACATGCTGAAAGATATTGCATACTACCAGATGAACTTTCTTCTTCTTTTTAGGTTTTCCAGAAGTTTCAGCCATGTCGTAAGCTAACTGCCTCTCAAAGTTCCCACTTGATTCAACCTCTGCACCTTTCTGAACCATAGATCCACCATGCAAACTACTTTCTTCATCCTGAAATGAACTAGTGTCGCCACTATCTGTCTTTAAGGGCACTTGTAAAGTTCCAGCTGTAACACTGCCAAAAGGGCTAATCATCCTCTGCCTGGAAGCAGTACGCATGCGCTTCGTAGGCACTGAACCAACATTTATATTACTCGCAGGCCTTTTCCCCATCACTGTTGGTTGACTGGACCCACCTGCGTAGCTGCCATATGGCAAATCAGCTCCAATATCATACAACCGAGCAGAATGTGACTTCATCAAGTTCTTCCTTTTCTTGTGGCTTAAATTAGATGATTTGGTACATTCAAAAGCTCCAGGCACATAATAGGTGCTCGTTTCTCCTTCATCGTCATCATATGCAATGGTATTGTATCCTGTAGCTGCAGTTGGAGACTAAATATCAGTACAAATTTGCCAGCATGCACAGCTTTAACAACCAAGATATCATGTGTACCTCCTGCAGCATCATAAGCAGATGTCTCAACCTCCTCCTGCATGCTACTTCCAGATTTCTGGATAAAGGGAGAGTGCTGTTAGATATATTCAGAAACTCATGCATGCATATAAGAAATATACACCCATTTGCGTAATCAAGTTCAAAACATGAGAACTTCCAGCACTTTAAGTGTTTTCCCATACCTCGCATCGTGCGAGATGAGATTCAATAGACTTTCGGTAGGCCTCCATTGTACCAGATGGAACTGAATAAAAGAGGCTTTCCTGCACGACAAAAAAAAGCATGGTGAACTACGTCAAAATGTGAGAGCTCTATACAACAACATCAAATGATGTTGATCTAGGCTGACTTAGAACTTTTGTTGAATGACATCATTCAACATAGATTTTCTGTAACATCATTCAACAAAGGCTGCCAAAAAAAGAAAAGAGAAGTCTTCCATACTTCTGTAAGTTGATCATCCCAAGATGTTTCCAATATGCCTGGGTCGCACAAATTGTCAGGTGTTGATGGTGCTGCTGCTTGAAGATGGGAGGGAGAAGAGTTGCTATACTTCAAAAATCTACGAGCATATTCTTCGACACCAAGAGTTGAACATTTTCCACTGTTCTCACACCCAAACTCTTTGCTAGTCTCCTGTAAATGATCACAGCATTACTTAGACAAAAGAAAATAATTCTAAAAAATGAAAAAAAAAAGAGCAACAGAACTAGAGAAAGCTCCAAGTGCTAATGATGTTGAATTGGCGCAACTGGAAAGATGCAGCATGTCAATCATAGGAGGGAGAAGTCCACAACATTGTATCTCCAGCCTTCTACCAGCCATTACAAACTTAGAAATATGCAGCGACAGAACTTCTCAGTGCTAAAAATTCTTCAGACAGTAAACTTGTGTGGGTACCCCTCAATCAAAAGTTTGAAAAAGGAAGGAATCGCATTATCGTCACCATCTAAACGCCATAACAGGCAGTCCTTTGGAATCAACCCATTACCTTATCAGTATTTCCATTGTCATCAACCAAACTTGTTTCCTCAAGCTTCCCAGGCAGCTCCACACAACACCAGAATTGCAAGACGGCATTAGCTAGGGTAGAAGCTAATTTTTTTAGCTTCCCATGCTGAATTTTTTCCTCAAATCTCAATTGAGAAGTAAAGGCGATTCGATGGCAAATTTGAGCAGCAGCAGTCATCTTCCACAGGCGCTCCTAGAAAAGAAATGAAGAGAAAGAAAGGTCGAACATTTTCAGTTTTCTTCACTCAATCAAGATACAAAGTAAGCAAAATGCCAACATACTCAGGGATGGGATTAGCAGTAGACAACATAACAAAACACAATAAAGAAAGTGAAGCACTTCTCATTTAACTAGTTAAATTCACATCCCAAAGTTAAGCAGCTGTTACATACCTGCGCAAAATCATTTGCCAGCCATATCATTTCTTCAAGGACGAAATCCCACTGAGATTTTATACAGACCTCCACCGGTACTGTACCAACAGATAACTCAGCAATTCTCTTTCTCTTTGCCTGTTAATGTGCTATGTCAGACATAAACTCTGAAACAAACCAAGAATAATAAACTTTTTTCCAAGCTGGACAAATTAAGATCATCAAGCCCAGTTGAAAAAGACAACCTGTATAACCCGTGCCTCCTCGAGGATTGAATCCTCCTTCACGGTATCTACCAAGATCGAGCCACCTTCTGAATCAGGTTGATTTTTTGATACTGTAATATCAGCTCCTGAAACTACATTTTTATTAACTATGCAGGAACTGGTTTCAGCTGATGCTTCAGGCTTTCCAGGGCACAAATGGTCACTGGAAGTGCCAACTAAAACATTACTGACTTTCTTGTCATTTTCGAGTACAACCAAGTCAACATGTTGCTTTCTTTCTGTTTTATAAGAACATTTCTCATCATTTTGCAACTCAAATGTACTTCTATGACTTTGATTTTCAGTTATGACCAACTTTCTTTGGTTTTCATCCGCAGAAGTCCCCTCATTAGCAACAGCAGTAGTGCCACAAACCTCATTCTCATTCTTTGTATTCACCGTTTCACCAGCAGTTTCATTCAGCAACCCCTCCGCTCTTAAAGTCTTCTGCATAGCGATTCCGTTGGAGTCAGCTTTGCCCACTTCATGGAGATCCTTCTCATTATCTACATCTACATCTACATTGTTAGCAAGAGAAGACTCCGAATGTAACCCTTCTGTCCATGAAGCTGCGTTATTTCTTAAGTTTTTTTTCTCTCTTTTAAAACTTGCAAGACCATTCAATTGGGTCGAGTTAGTTACTTGCCCAGTTACTGTTTCAGCTTCGTGAGACTGGACTTCTGTACTGGCAGGAATTGCCTGAACCTTCTCTCCAGCAAGATCAGCCATTCCAGAAGCCACAACTGCAGAATTTTCCCTTAATGTAATATCTGCTTCATCTGTCAGCGGGCTACTTTTTGTGCCAGCACTCGTCTCTTGCACAACCGGTACATTGTCCACCTCATAGTTTAATGGATTGCTGGAAACTACATTTTTCGAATTGATGTTACCATTTGAAGTTTCAGAGCTTGGACAAGACATAGAAGGCATATGCCTCTCCTTCTGGTTAGCTGTTTCAGGTGTTACAACCTTTCCATCCACTGACCCTCTGCGAACAGATAGAGAGGTCGCAAGACCACCACGATTCTGAGCTAAATCTGTTGAATTTGATCGTGTTGACTCCCGGTTTATCTTTGATCTGTTCCTACGAGCATAAGGACGAAAAATGGCAGAATCTTCCCTTTCCTTGGAATTCTGGTTAGCGTTTGCTTGGGAGGACCTCTCTGATTCGGTTCTGTTTCTCTTATTAGAAGTTCTTGAATTTCTTTCTCTTTCAAGTGGTTCATTTTCCCCATCAAATAGTAAAAGATTATCAGCTGAATTGGGTTCTGAAACTGTAGGAACTCCAGGTCTACCACTACTCTCCACAGAGTCCCCATGTGGTGAGGCAGTCAAGGCAAAACTATCTTTGACTTCACTGTGGTGAAGACGGGTAAAAAAAATTATGAGCTAATCCATGGAATCAAAACAAGAAATTACTACAAACAAGAAAATACCTGCTTACTAAATGATCTGCCTGATGATCGGTCAATGACGTGGACTGGACGCTTTGTGAAGTTGTATTGCCAAATTTGAAATCCAAGGGGTTGCCACCCTATAGTAGAGAGGATAATAAATTCCAGTCATAAGCTCCAACTCATTCTTGAAAGGAAAAAGAAAAGAGATCATTTTTCATACCTTCTCAAGAAACTCCAACTCTCTTCTTCTTTCTTCACGAACGTCATACTCTTGCCTGTTGAAAACAAGTATTCATTAACCATATGAAATAATTGTCTAACATATTTGCACCCAAGGTAGAGGTTATGTCAAGAAAGGAAGGAAAAAAGAAAAAGCGGTAATTGCATATTACCTTAGATCTGCCTGAGCCTTCTCGATTGCTGCTAGACGTGGTGATGTTTTGACCCCAATACCACCTCCGCTGTCAATAACTCCTCCCATGGAATCAACCTCAGCATTTACTAGGACAGATCCTGAAATGCTTCCATGCATCACCACCTTAGCACAAACGAGCTTCACTGTCCCATCAATTCAAATTCTGACAGAAATTGATGACAAGTTCAGAAGTATTTCAGTTGACCTGCAAAGATACTGAAACCCAAGCTAAAGTACATCTGTTATCACATCAATTCAACTTTTTTTTTTATCAAATCAACACCATATAACCACGATTTATTAGTAGCTAAGAGCCAATTCCAGATAAACTGTTAGATGTCACAGTAAGACAAAATTCAGTCACGCCAGTAAGTGAGTTGCCAACAAAAATAAAAAAGAAACATAGCTAAGATACCTCACGAGACCCTAGTATTTTTTTAACCTATAACGCCAACTTCTATAATGATCCCTCTATGAAGAACATCATACCTTAGGAAAGTAGCATACCATGACAAGATCTAGAAATAAAAATAGCATTGAACCGAACCACACAATCCAGTATACGCAATCACTTTTTTGCACTAAATTTTAAACCCGAGTTGAGCTGTAGAAGGAACTCCAACAAGTGTAGACTCGCGATGGGAATTTCTGAAGCTAAAATTGAAAGTAATCCGGCATCAGTAGAGACTACAAGCAGTGGAAGTTGAACATGATCAGCTGAGTGGCTAAGAAGGCGTGCCCACGAACTTTGACGTCAAGTAAGCACATTTCAGAGCTAAACGAGCACAAAACAGGACATTGCAGAGAAGAATTCTCAGCGCTCCATCATAATTCATCATTAGAAAAGTCGAAAAGAGAGAATCCGCACCGCGTAGACCCAAAAACTAGCCCAAAACTCCCCGAGACATCCAAATCAACAGGACCTCAAGTAAAGTTGGACTCTAGGGTTTCTAAAGAAGAGCAAATGCGAAGAGAATCCAGTACGAGTACCTGAATTGGACGTGGAACGAGGAGAATGCAAGGCCACGGCACAAAACAGAGACAAATTTACGATATAATTTGTGATTTTTCTCTCTCCTAGGGTTTCCGCCAACAAAAACCAACCCCCTTCAAAAGCTTCAAAATCACGAAGACAAAACCAATTCCGCACGGAAACAAGACACTCCCATGAAAATGGAATCCATTAATTCACCTCGCGAGATTCCTAATTCAGCTATTCCTCCATGGAAATTCCTTTCAATTTCTGTTTCCCTCGCGGAAAAGCTTCTTCGCGTATCGTTTTTTTCGTTCTCTCTCTCTCTCTTCGATGCACTATGCGACTCTCTCTCTCTGAGAAAGTGGGCCTGAATTTTTCTCGTTGACAACGAAGACGAATAAGGCCTCTGTGTATTGGTCCTCTTTGGGCCTTTTATAATTTTGGCATTTTATCCAATCGGTTTTCGGACAAATTATTTTGCATGGGGTGTGAATATATTGTTCCACATCTCAAATATTGTATATTTGTATTTTAAAATTCCACAAATCCGTATGTTTTGTGAAATATAATATATGGTTGATTCGATTCAAGAGAACCTATTTTTTTTAAATAGATCGTTCTTACAATATTTCATGTAAACATATATTATCTAAAAGAGAGAACATTCACCCTAGGTAGGATTATCCCAAAAGGATGAATAAGAATATCATGAGGAAAATATATAAAATATCCACACTAAACCAATGATATATTTTTTTTGGTAATCGGGTTTTCTGAGCCGAGACCCAGACTAATCATCGGGAGCCAACCATGTGATTTGAATTCTACGCTTTCTCTCCAACCTGAGATTCTGACTAAACCAATGATATTACTTGTTTACGGATATATATATATACATATAGACAAAAACTCCTTCGCTACAAGGTGGTCAAATAACCCGTATCCACTTATAAAAGGGGTATTTATATGGGTTTTTTTCAATTCTTTTAGAGATATAGTTAACGAAAATCTTACGAATTTTTAAATTATAAAAAAAAATCTTTTATATTCATGTATCAAAATAATATTCTCCTCTTCATTTGCATATTCCTTCATATTCTTAAAATTTAATGGATCTTAATAAACTTTAATCGAAAACAATTTTATAATCGTATCTTAATAGAGTTGTTCATATATAAGAAATTATTTTTGATTTCAAAAATTGATATTTTTTTATATATTAGATATATATGCTTTTTGGAATAATTATTGTTAGATGGATTTGAAATATATATATATATATATGGTTATTTATCCTAATGTAAAAATAAAATTCACAGGTGAAATTAATATGTTTACGAGCAGAACTTCCCTCACTTATTTTGGTTTTTGAACTTTTAAAAAAGCTATAGATGACATTTTCACATGAATATGTATTTTTCATCAAATGATATTCAATAACAACCACACAATACTTACTTCCCCCACGATATAATTTAAACTTTTAAATTTATAATTTTAGAAAAATAAATAAGAAACTAAACTATTATACTATGACCCTAAGAACCCAACATTATAATAATTTCAGTAAATGTAAATTTTTAGAAAAATGGCGCGTGGGATGGGAATAACAAAATCGAGAGATCAAGAGAGATCAAGAGAGAGAGAGAGAGAGAGAGAGAGAGAGAGAGAGAGAGAGAGAGAGAGAGAGAGAGAGAGAGAGAGAGGTGTATATATCACAGACCCGTGAGACTGATAACTACTAACCTCTCTCTCTCGCCCTCTCACTCTTCTTCCCTTCGTCTTCGTCTTCTCCTTCTCTCGCAAATTCCGTACACTTCTTCTTCTTCTTTTCTTTCACGTGATTAAGCACAATTACAATTTAGGGTTCATCTCTTCCATGCCCATCTGATTTGATCGATGGAAGTAAGTTGACTTCTCGGTTCTCCAAGTTTTTTTTCTTCTTTTCTTAATCTTCTTGTACTAGGTTTACAGTGCTATTTTCTGTTTGGTTGCCGTGAAGAACATGGAAACCCTGAAGAAAAAAAAGTTTTCTTTCCTTGGATGTTGCATTCTACTGGTTATTCCCCTCGATTCATTTCTGAAAAAAAATTCATGTTTCTCAACTTTTTGGGGTTTGATTGCAAGATATGACTCTCGCCTTTATTCAGATTTTGGATCACATGGCTCTCTAAAAGAAGAAAGTCTCCATTTTTGCGGGGGAATCCTCTAAGTCTCTATTTAGTTCTTCAGGGACAAGAAAAAGTTGAACCCTTTATGTGTTACAGTGAAATATGAGGCGTTTGATTCATAGGGAAGATCTGAAGAACACTGATTAACTGGCAATGATGTCTTGCCAGGTTCCTAGATGTTGCTATCAATTTCTTAAATGGGCATTCGTCGATGGTTGATCTAAGTGAATCTTTTGAACATACATGAGAATGTGACTTCTGTTATCTTGGTGTTTGATGTGTGTTCTTGTTTTGAATTCGGTGTTGAAACGTTGAAACTCTTGTATTTGTTCTCGAGAAGTTTGTAGAAAAAAAACATGTTGTCTTGAATAAATCTTTCTAGCTGATGAATTATTCTTCTTGTGGTTAGCGTGGAAACATTCCGAAATTTGGCAACTGGGAGAGTGAGGAGAATGTTCCTTACACGGCCTACTTCGACAAAGCAAGGAAGGTTCGGACAAGTGGTGGCAAAATGATAAACCCAAATGACCCGGAAGAGAACTCGGATTTGCATGCTCAATCCCTTCCTCCTCCTGCCAGACCAAAACCCGAGCAAGAGGAACCTGTCAGAAGATCACGTGAACAGATGAGAAGCCGGGAAGACAGTGAGTTTAAGCAGTTTGATAATAGAAGACAGGGGAGAACTGCTTCTGAGAACAACAGTTACGAGAGATCTCCGCTGCATAACCAGACCAGGTCTCCCGGTAGGAGCATTGGTACCCTCTCGCCTCTCCGGGATGGGAGCAAAAATTCATACGACGGCCATGGGAAATCAAAGCCAAGATCCAACATTAGAGGCAATGAAAGTGTAAAAATTTCACTTCTACTCCTCTCTCTTTTCTCTATTGTTTGTTATCTAAAACTCGACCACATTTACCAGTATGATAGCTTCATTAACATATATTCCTATCTCCACACTTCACTTGGAGTTGATTTTCTTCACTCTACATGTTCTTACACTTCTTGCCTCGTGACGATGAATGTGCATTAGTTCTGAACTCAGTGAAGCTATATGTTTTCTGTGTCTTGTTTGCATAGTTCATTCTGTTCTTTGAGGTTTCTTGCTAACGAATCGTTTTTTTCCCACATTGATAGCCTGATAGAGGTACGGTCGTGCCAAAATTTGGAGTCTGGGATGAAAATAACCCTTCATCAGCTGATGGATATACATACATATTCAATAAAGTACGGGAAGAGGGAATTATGAGGGAGTGGGAACAGGATCTACAAGAACTCCATCTCACCCGAGCAAGAAACCGCCTTCAGACAACACCAAGGTAAAGACATCTTTCTCTTCATTCGGGTTTCATTGTCGGAGAGAGAGTTCTCCTACTCATTTTACGTAAGAAAGAACACATAAAAGGCCGTATCGAGTTCTTGGTCTGTATTTTCGCGGGTCTAAATCTTGATCTTGATATCTTGTATCGTTGCGGATCACGTCCTGGATGGCTTTCTTGTCCAAGAACACCTTCAATAACTCGGAACGTGGTTCATCTTCTTGAATTTCCAGTGCTGCTGCTTTTTCTGGGGAGGAAAATGAGGAGAATTTTGGGTAAGGTTCTTGGCTCAGCTCAAGCTTAAGCCTCGAGTTTGTATATAGTATCGAGAAAATCGACGAAAATGTGGTGGTAATGATATCTGTTTATGTCTACGTTGAAGCTGCTTCGGACGAAACATAAAGATTAGAGAAATATATTTGTATCTTTGTTGTTTTGCATAGTCATGTAATTCTTTGGACATCTCACCTTTGTTCTCTTCCAAGAAGTTTTACCGTTTGATGCGAGCGGTTTGGTTGGAGCAAGTATTAGTGGCACAAGTCCGGTTCGGTTTGCACCGGTTTGGAGTTCGAACCGGACCGGACCAATGTTAATTTAACCGTTTCCAAAAAGTGCTAGCCAATGATAATTTGACACGTAAACATCTATTGAGCGTTGATTCTATATATAGATGATCCAACGGACGGTCCAGATGACGTGTTCAGATGAGCTGCGATGCACAGGATTCTTCGCCTCTTGTCCCAGCGCCAAGTTTTGGCGCTCGATCAAAGCTGGAAATTTCAAGTTTCTAACAGACAAAAATCAAACCCAAAGATGGAAAGATTCAAAATTTCTTAAATTTGAATCAAAAGTTCTTGACTCCCTCTCTCTCTATCTCCCTCCTCTTCGTTCGTTTGTCTGATTTGATTTTGTTGATGGAAAACGGAAAGGAAAGGGATCTGGAGTTGGTGTTTGGAGCTACTTGAAGACCTTAATTGGAATTCTCAGGTATTTCTGTTTTGGTTTCTGATTCAGTCTATCAGAGAGGAAGGAATCTGTTGCGTTACTAGTTTCATTTTCGCTTATTTTTTCAATTCGGTGAATTTGGGGTTTTCTTGAATGATTTGGGGTCGGTGCTCTGGTATGATCTTCAACCATGGTTCGAGGGATTTAGGGTTCTTATCAGCAGATTCTGGAAATTTCAGATTTGGGTCAACAATTTTGCGCGGGATCTCCTGTTTTTTTGTCTCGTTTTCTGAGTTATCGATTTGACAGATATGGTGAGAATACAAAAGGTCGAATCGTTCTATTTCCGGCTCCGAGAGTCGGTAACTTCGTCTTCTCAAAGCCCTCTTCTCATCTTTCCATCGGCATCAGATGTTGACTCTCTCTGCGCGCTCAAAATCATCACCCATGTCCTTGAATCTGATTCAGTCCTGTATTCTTGTTTTCCGGTGTCTTCTTTTCCAGAGATCCACAAATTTGCAGGGCCTGGGCTGTGTTCTTCATCGGATAATCCGGTTACCATTCTCCTGATCAACTGGGGTTGCCACCGTGATTTGCGGGTCACGCTTCAGTTAGGCCCTGCTGCTCGTGTATTTGTTGTGGACAGTCACCGGCCGATTCATTTGCATAATTTGAGTTATCAGAAATATCAGGTTGTGGTTCTTCACACTGATGATGACGAGCAGCAGGCAGATCTAGCATATGATTTTGATGTGTTGACATCGGCAAATGAGAGCTTTCAGCTACACTTAGACAGAGACGATGAAGAATCAGGCGATGAGTATGAGAATGGGAGCGACAGAGATGAAGAGGATGATCACCAGAGTAGCAGCGAGAATGAGGATGGCAAGGATGGGAATGATAATAGGTCGAGTAAGAGGAGGAGATTGCGTGATAACGAGAAGGATTTCAAGAAACTAAAGAGGGTTTATTACCAGATGGGCACTTTGCATGGCAAACCATCTGGATGCCTAATGTTTGAGCTTTCCCATTTCTTGAGGAAGAACACGAACGAGTTGCTATGGTTGGCTTGTGTTTCTTTGACTGATCAGTTTGTTCATGAGAGGTTGACTGATGAAAGATACCTTGCTGGTGTTATGGAGCTTGAACAGCACGTCAACAGTTCAGGAAATATAGACAAAGTTACCTCTGTGACTCTGAAAGATGGGACGAATATCTGAGCACCCGATTGCTCGAGAATTTCATACGAAGAAGAGCCGAGGCTTATGCTTCTTCAGGAATGGACATTGTTTGACTCGATGCTTTGTTCATCGTACATTGCTACCAAGTTAAAGATTTGGAGCGATAATGGCATCAAGAAGCTCAAGCTTCTTCTAGCTGGGATGGGGTTCGCACTAATTGACTGCCAGCAAAAGTTTCCATACATGAGTCACGAAGTGAAAAAGAAGATGAAAGAAGAGTTCGATAGATTCCTGCCAGAATATGGCCTGACAGATTTCTATTACCGAAGTTTCTTACGACTCCATGGATACAGCTCGAGGGTTTCAGCTGCGGATGTCGTCTATGGTGTCACTGCACTTCTCAAATCATTTCTCAGGTTGGATGGCTCCTCTGCATCAAAACAGTTTTTTGGTGAAGCTATGATGCTTTATCCCTAAACAATGTCCACAAGCTGAAATCTGGAAGGCAGAAAGCGATTAGGGTTCAACGGGCAATTCTCCGGCAAGGAAGTACAGCGATCACCAAGAGCGGATGCATCCGAACCGGAAGAAAATTCAGGTGGGTAAAGGTTGAAGATTCAGTGGATTCCAAGTACTTGGGTTATCCCCAAGCCTTGACAAAGTTCTGTTACTTTCTGATGGATGGTTTGAGAGAAAAGGGAGCTCGGATGAGACCGAAGCTTTGCACTTGCCCGTCAAATCGGTCCGGGAAAATTCTCATGGTAGTTGTGGTTGGGAAGCCGAGGGTCGGGTCAGTTAGAGGGAATGCATTTGGAAATGCATTCAGGAAAGCAGCACAAGAAACAGGAGCTGATTACTTCCACGAGCTCTTTGAGTCTTCATGGATAATCATGGATGCACCTTCTGTTAACTCTTTCATGATTAGATTAACTGAGAATCTCTGACACAATATTTTGTTTTCTTCATATTTTTAGCATATCTTTCAGATTGTTTTGCAGATTTAAGATTTGTATTGTTGGGTAAAACGTGTTATCGTGTAACTTTTTTTTTTAAAAGAATAATCTTTAGAGATTCCACTTGAAACATTAGGATCGGTGATATTCCGACCGGCTCTGTTTTCCCCTGTCTTAACTTTTGGTTGTAAAACCCAAATACTTCAAGTCCAGATATAATAATTCCATACAATGTGGAAACTTCCAATGAGAACATAAAGGCTGAACTGATTCTCATAATCTTATCGTAATAAATAGTTCTTTTGGCTCTAAGCCTAAAATTAAGACAGACAACAAAACATACAGAAAACTCAACAAAGGATTAGGTTCCATCTAACTGAAGAGCTCTTCAGAACTTAACACCAACAAAAGACTCTGCTAAAACTTCACGCAGAAAGATGGAAGAAGAAAACTCGGGGGCGGAAAGGAAGGAAACGGCTCGCAATCGTTGCTGCAGCTCTCGCTCATCTCGAAGACGGCTTCTTCTTCCGCCACTGCGTTCTGCCTCGGTTAATCTCCTGCCCATCTCCAGACAACCTCAGCAGATGCAAGAACTGTCTCCCGTCGTCGTGCCCCTTCTCGTTTGTCATGGTCGACCCATTGGTCCCAACGAGCTGCGAAACCGTTTCCTCCGGGATTTCGGGAGCAGTTAATGAATCCACCACGTCGTCTTGCTGGCATTCCCTTCGGTAATCAAGAGTTATGACCTCGAGCTCGTGTGTATCGATGATTTCTTGAGGAATGCTCTGTTATTACCATGGAGGAAGAAGAAGAAGGTAGTACAGTTCATTAGCTCATGAAGCATTGATTGTTGTGTCGAAAAAGGAGTTTCCCGGGCTTTTAACAAACTCTATTCTTAACGGTAATATCGGGAAAAACCAGTGATCACGCCTAAGAATAGTAATTACAACATTTTTTAACGTCTCGTAGTCACTGACCTCCAGAACCCATCCAATGTAGGTGACGTTATTGACATGCTGGTTCATGTCCAGATCAGCTCGCCTAGGCTGAATTAGCCATGAAAGGGGACAAGACAGAACATGATTAGGTCACAACTCATGAAAGCCAAGAGAATGAGTCCGAGAGGTTTTTCACCTTGAGTCCGAGCTTGGAATTCTGTGTCGAATCTTCCAGTTTCGGGATTTTCTGCAAGCTGCTGTTGTTCTCCTCCGGAAATGCTAATCTACACGATCAGGTCAACAAAAAGGTTAGGATCTCCATGCTCATAAGAGTAGCATTACTCTCAAGTACTCATCCGGAACCCGAGACAGATAGCATGGATAGTTCACCTGAGTTCCCGAGGGCAGAAAACCAAGTACTCGTCCCGAACCTCGTCCGTGACTTTCTGAAGCCGCCTCGTATCTTGGTTCATCATCACCCATTTGCTGAGATCATGAGGTACAATATCACAAAACACTCCAGCAAAATCCAAAGCTCATCAACTTCAACAAGCAAAGCAACTAAAAGACTTTCCATCCATAGCAATCCGGGGAGATAACAGTCAACATCCAAAACGCAAGAGAGTATGTATACGTAGAGTCGCCATGATTATTCAGCCGGGTTTCTTCCTTTGTCACAGTATATCTAGGTAATGGAAAAAGGATGAAGACCAAACCTTGTAGCTCGGCCAATAACTTCACCAGTGGCACAGTCCTTAAGAATCCAATCACGCCTCGTTCCGATCCTTCCTTCGCTTTGACACCACGTCTCTATCTCAATCACATCGCTCCTGTAACCAACCATAACATCGAAGAAAATATCATCTCCAACCCCTCGGAATTCAGACAAAAAAATGACGAAAATGAGGAAAACAATAAAAAATACCAAGCGGGGTATTTGTAAATCTCAATGTGCATTCTTGCGGTCACCCATATGAGATGCAATTTCCGCATGGTGGTGGTCGTGGCGAACCCATCCGTCGAAAACCCAACACTTTGCGCGTGGTTGCATCCGACCTCCTGCATTTGATGCAAAAAAGTCTCAAACTTTCCTTCACATCAATTCAATATTTCTCATATCTTGAATTTGGATATCTTGGATGTGAATCTCATTCGATGCGAATGAACACGGAGATGGAAGAAATTGCCCAAAGAATTGATTACTTCACTGTCGGTACGACAAACCAATCAGCAATTAGGAAATGACAATGAAACCGTCATGGAAACACAAGAAACTTGTGACATTATCTCATCCTACAGATTCCCGAACCACACGAATCTTTAGAGATTCCATGAATCTCGAAAGGAATATTAGTTTCCAATACCCTCGTGGCAAAATTCACAACGAAATCCAAATCCAGAACCAGAGACAAAGCAGAACAAAACTAGACCTGCAAGAGATTTGCAATTGTCTCCACAGTCGCGGTTTTGTTAATCCCAACTTCGTAGCATCTCACGATGAACTTCTCCTTGTACGACAACCCGTCCTCCGTCAAGCTGCCGAGCCGGAGCCGGTCCGCCAACGTACCGAAAGCCGTAACCGTACCCGATTCAGACAGAACCGGTTTCCCCTGATCCGAAGACACCACAGCCCGTACAGGAGACACAGCCGGAGCCCGTCTCGCCTGAGAACACGAAACGCCGTCGTATCTTCGCGGGAGGAGATTAACCGTAGATTTGGCCGGACACAATGGTCTGAAGCTCGGGAAAAAGCTCTGTAACTGGTCCGAAGCATTACACGAGACCTTCAACATCGCGGGAATTGTCAATGACAGGAAAAAAAAAAAAAAAAGAGATTATTAAAAAAAATCAGATGAGCATTTTCTGGGGAGAAAAGGGGGAAGTTTATTATAGGGATTGTGGCCGATGGTAACGAGGCGAGAAGGAAAGGAACAGATTTGGAATTGCCACTGAGTCTGGATGAAATTACGAGTTTGCCATTGCCATGTCCGAAGTCCCCAACCAACCGTTGAACAATAGCAAAGACGAAAAGCTCTGTTCGGACACGGCACGTGACTGCCCGTTTGTCTTCGCTATGAACACGTGACAAGATTTACAATTTAGTGATTTTTTTGGGGTACACATGCAAACGTCAAAAACAATAAAATAATAAATGTACATGCATGGAATAATTCAATTTCACCGATTGGATCAAGGCAATTACACGTTGGTGGGTTTTGAAATAATTTATACAAGGGATCATGCGAGAAATAATTTTTAAAATGTTATTAAATATATGGTTTTCCTGTTGCGGTCGAGTTTATTCATTCAATCATTCGTGACTATATATAATTATATATGAAGAAACCGAGGTTTCAACGATAATACCGGCTGTATAAATCATTACATTACATATTGCTCAATCTCCATTCTCCACCAGTAGATGTTCTGTCTAATAAGACATTCGATAAATTAAGGAGCAGAAAACAAAATAAATAAAGATTGGTTAAAATGCAGAAAACTATATTTCGAATTTTATTAAACAGGATTTACTTGCAATGCCTATAATATTTATTTATTCAATTAATTTTTATATTTTATTCCAATTCACTTAATTTATTTTTAAAAAAAATGTATAATTAATTAATCATTTTTAAATCGGATTCAATTCAAATGAAATTCGATTTTTAATATCCAAATAAAAAATTACACTCATATACCGTGGCACACCCGTGAATTCACGACAAACTCTTTGGCGATCCTTCATGTTATTACTAAGCAGTTTGTAATTTTGTCCATAACCCATTACTGCCAAATCATAAATCGCAAGTGACTTCAACAAAATCAATAAAGAGATTGGCCAAAAGCAAGTAACCAAAACTAGGAAGATTCTAAAGAAGAAGAAACTGCAACAACAACAAAAAGTAAGCACTTTTGTAACCTTTGGTAGGTCACCAATCCAATCTGCCCTACCTTAGGTTATCTTGGGCAGCAAGAAAAGTTCTCCAAGAAGAAGAAGAATTCTCCATGGTGGTGGTGGAGGATATGGGAATTCTCAAGGACTAACCTTCTGATTCTATCAAAGGCTTTCAAAGGTTTCACTCCAAGCACTCAAAGACGCCATGAAAATTTCCTTTATTCGGAAAAGTATAAATATAGATAACCCAACATTTAAAAAAAATATGGTACTCAATTAAAGGAAAAACTGTTCCATTAAGTCTAAAAAAAACAGATTAAAACCCAATATGGACTTGGGGACTGACCCAAACCTTAAAGAAGAAAAATAGTTCTTTCTATTACTAGACCCCCTCCTAATCTTTCTAAGAAATAATCTTACCACTTACAGAAGCCACAAACCTCTTAAGCAGCCGCGGTCACCCGAGGAGCAACGGATTTTGTCACCCCATTAACGTTATCTAGCCCGCCTCCACGCCTTGTACGCCCACCACCGCTGTTACCCCTTTGAAACCCGTCATTCCCACCACGTTTACTGTTATCTGAAATATAGAAATAAAATCAAATCTAAATATTATTATCTTATGGTAATCCTCCCGAATAGTGTTATCTTGTATCCCTAATAGTTACCTCCATAACCTCCCCTATTGTTTCCCCTGCTCCCATATTCAGATCTCCGGTTAAAGTCACTGCCCCGTCCATAACCTCTTCCACCTCCTCCATAGCTCCCCCGACTCCTTGCCCCCGAACCTGCACCATTGGACTGGCGTCCCCTTCCGTTCCCTGTGCAAAATCATAACGGATCCAGTTCGATGCCGGGGTTTTGATCCGGGTTGGCCGTTTCGGATTTCGGTCCGGTTATCTTTCAGATTTAGTTATTTCGGTTTTAGAAAAATAGAATTCAGGTGGGTTCAGTTAGGTTTCTGTTTAGGTATGGTTTGGATCGATTTTTATTGATAAAAATACCCATTTTTCAAAGAAATTGGAGAAGTACAAAGTAAATTTACCTCTTGAAGTTGATCTCTTCTCTTCAACAACTACACTATGGCCATTGAGCATGATGGGTGATGCCTGAAAGGCTCCAAATACAACAAAGTATCGGTAATAATGAATCAAGGATTTCGCAAGCAACAGGCATCCGATATCATCAAAGATGAGCATTTGTATACAGTTTTGCAAGAGACTTGGTTTGTTACCTCTATTGCACTTTGCACGGAATTTGCGGACTCAAACTCCACGAAACCAAAACAGAAACCCTGTAGCACAATCCTTGAAGAATAAGTACCAAGTAGACTAACACAGATATGATTTTAAACGATTGTTTAGTAACGAAAATGGGTTTCACCTTTTGGCTTCTCACTTGAATTCCATTGTCCCTAATAACTCCAAACCTCTTGAACTCATTCTCAAGCAAGGCTGGTGTTGCATCAAGCGGTAAGCCCTTTACGTAAATGGATGGACCTACTGCCATGAAAACATACAGACAGACGAGGAAATTTAAGAACAAAGGGCAATAATGAAATAACGACAGGATTAGGAATTAGGAAAAAAAAAATTTAAGTACCATCAACATCTTGATCATTCCCATTTGCAGCGGCATTCGCTACTGGATCTGGTTTTCCGGATAGTGGTGCCTGAGGAGGAGGAGCAGGAGTGGCTTGCTGTTCTTGCTTCTTTGGCTCCACCTTTGTTGGGGGTCCAGAAGGAGAAATTGGTGCAGCATTCTCTTTCATAACCTTCACCTATACATCAAGATTAAATACTAATCATATAGCAGAAAGCCTGGACCGGCACATCAGCTTCAGACAGCAAACCAAACACCCAAATATTATGTTCCTTACGATGGATGCGTACGATCTCTTTGGTGCATCTTCAGTCCTAGAATCGGGTTCCACAGCCTTCTGCAGATCGTTAGGAACTTCATGAACTATTTCAGGCTCTGGAACGTCTTCCACAGTTGATGCATGCCCAACCTCTGATGGATTGAAAACCTCGGGCCCATTATCAATACCATTTGACAACACATCCTGTTGCTCGACAGCAAGATTACCTCCCAAATCTTTCTCCTGAACATGATTATCTTGAATGTCTCGAACAACAGATGGATCTAGGCTCAAGAAAGAGTTATACCGACAGATTTATAATGGCTAGTTAGAATCAAACCCTGTTCCATAGCTTATCAAGAAAGAAAATACTCAAAGCATCTAAACTAGTTTCAACTCACCCGGGTATGGGTTAGAAGCAGCTTGGATGTCATTGGCAGGAATCTGATTTCCAAGTGAAATCGGGGCCTCATCAACATATCGGAACATATCATTCAAGACGAAATAGCCATTCTCCTGTGGAGCAAGGAAGAAAGTTTGTGTAAACTTCCTCCTGACATTGTCCTTCCCCGTCAGGTACCCAGTCACCAGTACAAGAACCCCTCCACTGTAAGATTCTTGAGTGTCCACCGATGTTATCTCTGCGCCGATTACTCCATACGCAAGTGACAAAATCTTCTTGTCAATACCCTGTTCGAAAGACATGCATAGTTAGGTACAGAAAAATTCCAAATCTCCCACAGTTTTCGTCAGACACAGTGAGAATTTAATAATTCAAGAAGTTGACACGAACATATATTTTCTGCCGCAAATGCTTTTCATCTTAACAATATAATGGAAGAAATACTTGATTGTACATTACTCGGGTGTTAAGACAACTTCAAGAACTTGGAAGTGTGGACTAAAAAGAAAAAAGAACAGATAGGAAGCTCACTTGTAATGTCGATGTGATGCTCATTATACCATTCTCTTCAGGCCGACCTAACTTGCTAATATCCTGATAAAATCTGTGAACATGCTCAGGAGACTGATGCAATATGTGGTAATACTGATGAACAAATGCATTTCCAACCTACAAAGATCACAAAAAAAAAAGTTCATAAAATGAAACCTGCATAAATCAGCACAAAATTACAAAGCTGCATCTCCTAAAAACTGAATCATACAATATCTGGAGTACAAGTTGCAACTGGAACTTGCTGAGCCACTAATGTCGCCATTGCCCACCGCTCTCAGGGAAACAAAACCTAGCATCAACACCGTTAGACCTCGTAATCAGTGATTAATGTTGGAATTTAATCGCATCCCCTGAAGAGAGCGCGTTGATTGAAGCATTTTAACGCCCGAAAGAAACTGAAAGCGAAATTTTATCAACTTGAAATGAGGAAAATCCCGGATCTGGATACAAATAAAAGAAAACCTTCAATTTCTGCAGAAAGCTCAACTGAACGACCGTTAAGAATTTCCGGAAGCCATGTTTCACAGCCATTCAACACCCAAAAAAGAAAAATCAAGGATCCGTTTGGGCTTAAATCAACTTGAGACTCTCAAATAGGTCATGGTTAAACAAAAACGCAACGATGATTCACACAAACAACAAAGGCAACCAGCTGAAATCCGAACTACAGAAGACCGATCTAAAGCGTCACAACACTCTGAAATCAAATATAATCTATAAAAGACGAAAATGACGAAAGGGATCAAGGATGCATACCTCGAAGAGATTTTGGCCAATAAAAACGACAAAGAAGACGAAGCAGGCTTACCTAGAATCTTCTCGAAGAAAATGGCGATGAACTCAGAGTCCGATCGACGATTCTTCGGTTCTCTCTCTTGCACCTCGCTGTCTAGGGTTTTTCCAGATGAAATCCCAAATAGGCGCGAGAGAGAGCGAGCGAGGAAGCGAGAGTCTCTGGAATTTATAATTGTTCTTATGAGAATTACTTTTTTACATTTTATTTTTTATATCTTAATTTTTTTTCTTTCTTTAATTCTATTTTAAAAACATGTTATTTTTTGTCAAAAAATATATTAATTTTCTATGTTTTTATGTAAAAAGGTTTTTCTTTTACAAAATGGGTTAAAAAATAAATCTACACTCAACATTATGATTTCCGTCGGTTAGATCGTTTTGCACTTTATACAAATATTCGTAGTTCACATATTTACCATTTGATTTTAGTTACCAAAATCTATAATAAAACTTACATAGAAATCTTAGAACACAAGGTCGGAATAATAAATATGTTATAATAATAAAAGAATAAGATAAATGTTGGGCTTTGCATTGGCACATAGTTCATATTTTTTAAAATATGATTCAATAAAAATGAGAATTTTCATGTTAAAATTGGATTCTTTTCTGAAATTTGACTAATTAATATAATAATCGTTTTCGTTAATCATATTAAACTTTGAAAATTACGCAAGAAATAAATTGAAAGGAAACTATTATTACGTGTATGTTTCAATTAAGGTAATATTTTAGAATTTAAGAAAAAAAAATAATTAAATATCTAAAATTTTGAATTAATATAAACTTTGAAAATTTTTAGTTTTCTAATTTGAAGGACAAAAGTATGCGTTGTTATTTATAAATTTGTGCCTTCCCCAAACATGAATGGTTGCACTTGGAAATAAGGGAAAAAAAAAATCAAGAAAATAGACACCAAATGTTTTTCATAAAGAATTTTTTCATTGAAGATAGAAATGAAGGAAAAATAACATGACTAGTTTTTTTTTTTTTTAAACCAAATTCTCAAAACAAGAAAGCAGCAGCAGCAGCATATCGTTGATTAGTGAGCAATGTTACTTGTGTGTTGCAGCAGTTCATAACAAAGAAGACCATGACACACACACACTCCAAATCTAAACCGGCATCTTCAACACAAGCTCTCCCTCCATCACGCTGCAAAACAGTTGACATGTGATTGGATTGTCTCCTACTTCTTGTAAGAAAATGACAAATATATATATATATATATATAGGCAGAGAAGTTGACCTTTTGACGTAGTAATAACAGAAATCGGATAGGATGAACGTTTGGACAATCTCGGCTAATAGAGCCATGGGGAACCACAAGTAGCCAGACCCTATCAACCATAGGTAGTGCCCTCTACTCTCGTAAACCTGTGCATTTCAATCAATAATTTCAGAGATATCATACATGTAGGTTGCCCATTTTGACGTCTACTTCAGTGTTTTGTCGAACTTAATTGTTAAGTTTCGAAGAACGGGAAGAAAGAAAGAAAGAACCTGCCTGGATAAGCCAGTGAGCACATGCCAAGAACCGAGCCATCCCGAGGGCAAATACGTAGTGAGCTGTGAATGGCTCTATCATCTGGAATGCGAGCAGAAAGCACGTCATAACTACGAGAACCGGTGATTTTTCGAGAATTTTTGCTAGAGAAAACGATGAGACTGCGTATAAATCGTTCAAGTATATATCAAAGATGATCGGAAG